CTTCCTCTGTGGGTTGGCTAGGTTGCCCCACCAGGGAGAAGTGATCAAGGAACAGACAATTGAGTTCATGTCCGTGACTGTCTCTTTCCCCTTACTAGGGAACCCACATGGAGACTGAGCTTTCTATGAGCTACATCCTAGCAGGGGTCTAAGTCGTCTTCATACAAGGTCTTTGGTTGAAGCATCAGTTTCTGCAGTCCCCACTGGACTCTACTTGTTTGGCTTTGTGAGGCTCCTTGTGGGGCTCCTGTCTCCTCTAGGTTTTTCTATATGTGCCTTCTTTCATAAGACTTGCTCTGCCCAAAGTTTGGCTGTGAGTCTTTGCATATGCTTGGACCCCTGCTGGGTAGAGTCTTTTAGAGGACATCTGTGGTAGGCTCCCTCCTGTTCCCTCTCTTCTACTGCTTTAGGTGTCTATCCTGTTTTCCCTTCTGAATGAGAATTAAGCATCTTCCCTAGGGTCCTCCTTGTTGTTTAGCTTCTTTGGTCTATAGATTTTAATATGTTTATTCTATATTATGTGGCTATTGTGTGTCTTCTGCTCCTGGGTTGCCTCATTCAGGATGATCTTTTCTAGTTCCATCCATTTGTCTGCAAATTTTATGATTTTAGCTGAGTAGTATTCCCTTGTGTAAAGGTACCAGATTGCCTGTATCCATTCTTCTGCTTAGGGACATCTAAGCAGATTGTTTCCAGATTCTGGATGTTACGAATAAAGGTGCTATGGGCATCGTTGAGTAAATACCCTTGTGTGGTTGAGCATCTTTTGGATATATAACCAGGAGTGATGTGGCTGGGTCTTGAGGCAGCACTATTCCTAGTTTTCTGGGTGAATAAAGGGTGAATTGTTGACCTTAGTGACTGTGCTATTGGTATTCTGTTCAGGAAGTTGTCTGCTGTGCCAATGTGTCCAAGACTAATCTTACTTTCTTTTCAGTCAAGTTGGGTATATCTAGTTTTAGCACGAAATCTTTAATCTGCTTGGAATTGTGTTTGGGCAAGCAGACAGATATAGATCTATTTGCATTCTTCTACATGCAGACATCCAGTTTGTCCAGCACCATTTGCTGAAGTTGCTTCCTTTGTTCCATTGAATAATTCTGGCTTTGTTATCAAATATAAGGTGTCCATGAGTTTGCTGATTTATTTCTGGAACTTTGATTTATTCCATTGGTTAGCTTGCCTATTTTCATGCCAATATTAAATGGTTTTCATTACTATAGTTTTATAGTAGAGCTTGAAATAAGGGATAATGATAGACTTGCAAGATATTTTCTTGTACAGGATTGTTTTGATTTTCCTAGGTTTTGTTTGTTTGTTTGCTTGTTTTGTTTTTCCACATGAAGTTGAGCATTGTTTTTTCAATGTCTCACTTTTTATTTCTGCTTTTGTTAATTTTGATATCCGTCCTGACTTTTAGCTAGCTTGAATTAGGGTTTGCCTATCTTGCGGATTTTCTCAAAGAACCAACAATTTGTTTCATGTATTTTTTTTATTTTTCTCTGTTTAAAGATAATTTCAGCTCTGTTTGATTATTTCCTGCCACCTACTCTTCTTGGGTACAGTTGCTTCTTTTTGTTCCAGAGCATTCACATGTGCTAGTATGCGATCTCTCAAACTTATTTTTGTAGGCACTTAGTGTTAGGAACTTTCCGCTTAGCACTGTTTTTGTTTTGTATCATAAGTCTTGGTATGTTGTACATTCATTTTCATTGAGTTCTAGAAAGTCTTTAATATTTTTTTCTGAATTTATTACCCAGTAGTAATTCAGTAGAGAGTTGTTTAGTTTAGCTGAATTTATAGACTTTTTGCTGCTGAAATCTTGCTTTAAACCATGGTGATCTGACAAGGAATGGGATTACTTCAGTTTTCTTGTATCAGTTGTGACCTCGTTTGTGGTCAATTTTGAAAAAGTTTCTTTGAGATGCTTGGAAGAAGGTATATGCTTTTCTGTTTTGGGTGAAAAATTCTGTAGAGATCCGTTAAGTGTATGTGATTCATAAATTGTGTTAGATCCATTATTTCTGTTTAGTTTCTGTCTGAATTACCTGTCTGTTGGTGAGACTGGGGTATTGACCTCTTTAACTATTCACGTGGGCTTTTAAATGTGTGATTTAAGCTTTAGTGATTTTTTTTTTAAATGTGGCTACCCTTTCATTTGTGGCGGAGATGTTCATAACTGAGGTATCATCTTGGTGGCTTTTTTCCTCCGATGAGTATGAAGTATCCTTCTCTATCTCTTTTGATTAATGTTGGTTGAATGTCTATTTTGTTAGATACTAGAATGGCTACACCAACCTGATTCTTGGGTCCATTTACATGGAGAAAAAACATAAACTTGAACTCCCAGGTAATGTCTATCTTTGATATTGATATGTGTTTCTTGTATGAAGAAGAATCATGGATTCTGTGTTCCCATCCTTTTGGTTAGACTTTTTTTTAAATTGGAAATTGAGCTCGTTCACATTGAGAGATATGAATGGCCAATGATTGTTAATTCCTTTGTTTTGTTGTTGATGGTAGTGGTGGTTATGTGTGTGTGTATGTGTATAAGCATGCATATGCCTGTGAACTTCCCTTCTTTTGGTTATTCTGTTGTGAGATTATGGATTTATTGTGTTTTCAGGAGTGGAGTTAGCCTCCTTGGGATGGAGATTTTCTTCTAGTACCTCCTAAGTCTGCAATGTAGATAATATTGTTTAAATATCACTTTGTTATGGAAGATCTTGGCCTCTCCATCAATAGTGATTGAAAATTTTGCAGGGTATAAAAGTCTAAGCTGACATCTTTATTCTATTGGAGTCTACAGGACATCTATCCAGGACTTTCTGTCTTTTATAGCCTTCATTGAGAATTTGGTTGTAATTCTAATAGGTCAGCCTGTAGTTATTTGGCCTTTTTCCCTGATAGCTTTTTATATTCTTTCTTTATTCTGTATGTTTAGTACTTTGCTTATTATGAGGCAAGGATCCTTTCTGGTCCTATCTATTTGGTGTCCTGTAAGCTTCTTGTACCTTTATTAGTATGTCCCTCTTAAGGTTAGGGAAATAATAAAATTTTGTTAAAAATATTATCTTGTACTTTGAGTGGAGATTCTGCTTTTCCCATTCCTATTTTATGTTTGGCCTTTTGAGAGTGTCCTAGATTTCCTGGATGTTTTGTGTCAGTTTTTCTAGATTTAATGTCTAATTTTCTTTGACTAACTTTTTTTTGACTAATGTATCAAGTTCTTCTATTGTATCCCCTATGCCTGAGATTCTCTCTCTTTTCTCTTTTGTTCTGTTGGTGATGCATGCGTTTGTAGGTCTTATTAGTTTACTGAGATTTTTCATCTTGAAGATTCCCTCAGCTTGTATTTTCTTTTTTCTTCTATTTCCATTTCCCAGTCTTAAACACTCAACTCATTCCTTTCACTGGTTTTTTTGTTTGTTTGTTTTTGTTTTATTTTCTTGGCTTTCTTTAAGAAGTTTATTCATTTCCTCCCATTGCTTGCTTGTATTTTTCTGGATTTCTTCTAGGGATTTTATTTTTTAAATTTCCTTTTTAAGGATTTTCATCATCTTCCTAAATTTTGCTTTAGTATAATTATCTTGTGTTTCAGCTGTGTTAGAATATTCAGGGTGGTAGAGTAGATGTGGTAGAATAGCTGGGCTCTGGTTGTGCTGTATTACCCTGGCTGCTATTGATTATGTTCTTATGCTGACCTCTAGGCATGGATTTTGAGTAATTGTAAGTTTAGGTACTGATTTTTGAGTTTATTTTTGTTGAATTTTTTTCCTTTTGGAGCCTATTTCCTCTCTGGTTTTCTGGCCCGATAGGCCTATGATTATGGTGAATGAAGAGTCCAGCAGGTTACCTCTTTTTGTTGGTATTTGGCAGACTATGTAACCTTTGGGGTTTATGTGTGGCATTGTCAATGAGTTTCAGGAAACTGGTATGCCCTCTTTAATTTCAGGTACTTGTGTGGCCTTTTGTAGAGCAGTGGGCTTCTGGGGCTCTGGGTACCTGTGCGACCTCTGGTAGAACAGAGGGCTTCTGCCAGAGTTGTGGGCCAGGATTTGGAGCTGAAGGGAGGTCTCAGTCCTACATTTTTATGCTGAATGTATCAGTCATTTGCCTCAATACTCCATTTTCTCTACCTAGTCAATTTTCTATAACATACCATACTGCTGATCATAATGGAAGCTGTTGTTTTAATTGAAAATAACACAAACCAAACCATTAAAACTGCTCCAAATTCATTTTGGTATAATGCCAAGAAAAAAGTAGAATCTTTCAGTTGAATGATTGCTGGAAAAGTGAAAAATAGTATGAAGTTGGAGAAAGTGTAAAAAAACTTGTATCTTATGTTTTTGGTTGTAAGCCTAACCTTTAATGGCTGAGCCATTTCTACAGCCCAAGATGTGTATCTTTTAAAAACAGATTTGTTTTGGGAATACCTGATGACCTTAGATATTGAAGTAATAAAGAAACTATAAGAGAAAGAAAGAATAATGGGGAAAGAATATTCCAGTTACCTAGAAATACACGCTGATGGAAAAAGAGATAAGCAAAGGAGCCATCTCTAGAGATAGTCACTATTTGCAAAGTAATGGAAGAACTTTTTTTTTTTTTAGGAAACAACTACTAAATCAAGGTGATTTTGGTGTTCATAGAGGAGCATTTTATGGGGAGACATTTGTCAGAGCATATCTTGAAATTCTGTGAGAATTTGCTATAATAAGAAATAAGGAACAAGTAGTGATTTTCTCTTCTTTATTTTTTAATAGAGGTGAGGTAACCCAGAAATAGGTTTGTTTTTTTTAATATTTTTTTTATTTTTGACAACGAGCCATTGAATTTATTTTCTTACAAAAGTTTATTAAGTTTATTACAATGTGTGATAGGCTCCAGGATAATACTTCATTCTAGCTGTAGGTGGCAAAGATGCTATGGCAGGGATCCAGATGTTTAAATAGGAATGGAAGAGGATTACCATCACCTCAGATATGAGGAACAGCTTACTTTTTGCTAGATTTCTTAATTCCACCTGTGGCCAAGGGACTCTTCCCTAAAGCCTTGGCTTTTAGCTCCTCGAGTGTCTTCTGCTCCTCTTTCTGTTTCTGCTGGAAAGCTTTATCTTCCTCATCCATCTCCTTGGCCTGCTTTTTGGTCTGTTTCAGGGGCTTCTTTTGGCCACCTCTGTGGCTGGACATGGCACCAACAGCCCCTTCCCCAGTCCCTGATCCTAAGATAGCAATGTTACTAATTGATACAACTATGAAATAGCTTACCCTTCTTCAAAAAGTAAAGTGTCCTGGAAATATGTCTTCTTATGTCTTAGGTGCATCTTCTCTTCACCTTTGTGATGGAGGGATACCTTTACAAAGTATAATAAAGTTAAAGCTTTTCTGTATTTTCATCTCAAGCCCATTTAACACACTTTTATTTGCCTATAAATGTTAACTCAATTGCTACCGTGTCCAAAGTGCAGCATCAAGAGTTTGTGGTGTGTAGGTACAACTGTGCCACACATGACAGTCAGTTACAATTAGGGACTTGTAGAGGAAGACTGCTTCTGTCAATGAGTCAGGAAACTAGGTGTTAGAATGTTTGCGTGTCGTGAACTTTGAGCAGGGGAATTTAGCATTTTCAAGAGCATCTGGTGATGAGCTGCGGAGGTATAAGAAGTTTAACCTGCACAATGGAATTCATAGGAGAGAAACTGAGGTTACCTTAGCATTGGCCTTCCATGCATTGTGCCCCTTGCTTTACTATTCCCTGAGTGAGCCCCATCTCAGCACATGTGGAGTGTGAGGTTTCATAAAGAGTAAACACTTTTTAAAAAATTATTATTTCCCATATGGATAAAGAGAAAAAAAGTTTCAACATTGCTCACACTCACTCAGCTACATTTTTAAAATGTTATTTCTGAGGGAAATTATTTCAGAAGAACCTAATTAGCCAGATTTCTAGATTTCTAAACTGAATTTTTATGATAGTTTCAAAAGAACTTGAAGAGCAAGGGGGGTTAGAAAAGCAATATAGGCTACCTCAAGTCTTTGAAAAAAAAATTATAGTCTCTATCATAACTATAAATAGTACATTGAAACATGCTTAAGCAAATAATTAATCAAAATATTTAGGAAGTTCTTACCCTGTGAAAATTGGTTTGCAAAAGCTTGTTAAATATATAACTTATATACATTTTATAACATCAGGGTTGAGAATCTAACTCATCTGCAATTCTAACTTTATGAATAAGATTATAACTGTCACTAATACAGCTTATTAATGTTTATCATGATAAAAATTATAATGTGACATGTCACCATTTAAAATGTTTGAAATCATCCCAAGAAGTTAAAGTAAACATAACACGTAATAAATAAATTACAGAAACAATACTTGGAAAATATATGAGTTGAAGAATCAGTTTTAGTTATTTTTGTCAGAACATGTAGCTTGCCTTACATTCTGGTTTATCAGCTATCTCCATGTGGATTGTGGTCCCTATTCAGTGTGTTTGAGCAATGTTGAAACTCACTTAACGTTTTCCAAGTAACATGGCATAATGGAGCCTACCTCACTCTACCATTATAGGATGGGCAGTACTCTGTTCTGTTAAGATATCACATTAGCTAAATTTACCTCATGAGCAGAACCTTCCAAATTCAAAAGAAAGAACACTGCTGTTCTCTGTGAATATGAATAATTACTTAATTACTATAAATGAACAATTATTAAGCATTTGCTTAGAATAAGTGTGTTATGTATGTGTGTGTATATGTATATATGTGTGTATGTATATGTATATATATATGTGTATATGTATATATATATGCACACACATATATATGTTTGCGTGTATTGTGTTTTTTTTCTCTCACCCTCAAAAATCAAATAGAAATTTATTTTATGAATCAAAGTGGCTTTTCCATTTAAGTATTGAACAAATAAAAAGAAGATGTAAAAGTATAATTAATGATTTATTTTTTGATACACTGCTAGGTAGAGTCTTTCAGAGTCCCTCCATGGTAGGCTCCTGTCCTGTTTCTTGTTTTTTCCAACTTCCAATGTCCATCCCATTTGTCTTTCTAAGTGAGGATAGATCATCTTACCCCGATCCTCTTTCTTGTTTATCTTCTTTAGGTGTACAGATTTTAGTATGTTTATCCTATCTTTAATGGTCTATTATCCACTTATAAGTGAGTATATACTGTGTGTGTCTTTCTGCTTCTGGGATACCTCACTCAGGATGATCTTTTCTAGTTCCCACCATTTGCCTGCAAGTTTCATGATTTCCTTGTTTTTAATAGCTGAGTAGTATTCCTTTTTGTAAATGTACCACAGTTTTTGTATCCATTCCTCCGTTGAGCGACATCTGGGTTGTTTCCCGGTTCTGGCTATTACGAATAAAGCTTCTATGAGGATGGTTGAGCAAATGTCCTTTTTGTGTACTTGAGCCTCTTTTGGATATATACCTAGGAGTGGTATGGCTGGATCTTGAGGAAGCGCTATTCCTAATTGTCTGAGAAAGTGACAGATTGATTTCCAAAGTGGTTGTACAAGTTTACATTCCCACCAGCAGTTGAGGAGGAGGGTTCCCCTTTCTCCACAACCTCTCCAGCATGTGTTTTCACTTGAGATTTTGATTTTAGCCATTCTGATGGGTGTAACGTGAAATCTAAGGGTTGTTTTGATTTGCATCTCCCTGATGGTTAAGGACATTGAGCATTTCTTTAAGTGTTTCTCGGCCATTCTCCATTCCTCTACAGAGAATTCTCCGTTTAGCTCTGTACACCATTTTTTAATAGGGTTGCATGATCTGTAGCTTACATGCTGAGACTCATAACCAAACCTTGGGCAGAGTGTGCAGGGAACCATATGAAAGAAGCGGGAGTTAGTAAGACCTGGAGAGGGCAGGAGCACCACAAAGACCAAATATATCTGGGCACAGGGGTCTTTTCTGATACTGATTCTCCAAACACGGTTCATGCATGGATATAACCTAGAACCCCTGCTCAGATGTAGCCCATGGCAGCTCAGCATCCAAGTGGGTACCCTAGTAAGGGAAACAGGGACTGTCTTTGACATGAACTCAGTGGCAGGCTCTTTGACCACCCTGTCCCCCGAGGGAGGAGCAGCCTTGCCAGGCCACAGAGGAGGACATTGCATCCAGTCCTGATGAGACCTGATAAGGTAGGGTCAGATGGAAGGGGAGGAGGACTCCCCTATCAGTGGATTTAGAGAGGGGCAGGGAGGAGATGAGGGAGGAAGGGTGGGATTCAGAGGGAATGTGGGAAAGATCTTCAGCTGGCATACAAATTGAGTAACCTATAATTAATATAAAAATAAATCTTTTTATTTTTTTATAACATTAATTTTCAGGAAAGTGGTCTTTAGATAAGACTTTAACTAATGAAAGTAAATTACATTTTTGGATTAATGTGTTCACACATATTTTATTGTTGTTGCTGTTGATGGTGTGTTTTGATATGAGTCTGTCACGTAATGTAGTTTCAACTTGAACTCAAAATTCCCTTGCCTCATCTTTCCATATACTGGGATTATAGACAAGACCCCCCACACACACTCATATGATTTTGCATATTTTTTAATTTAAAGAAGCAACGAATTCTTTTAAGACGAAGGGATATTTAGCCATTATCTATAAAATATCCAAGCTGAATTCTTGATTGTCCAATGAAGGCAACATTCTTTATTTTAAATTGTTCTTTATTTTAAGTATTATTATTTATTACAATTTATTCACTTTGTAGCCCAGCTGTGGCCTCCTATTTCTTTTCTTCTAATCCGACCTTCCCTCCCTCTTCTCCTCCTATGCCCTTCCCTTAGTCCACTGATAGGGGAGGTTCTCCTCGCCTTCCATCTGACTCTAGCCTATCAGGTCTCATCAAGACTGGCTACATAATCTTCCTCTGTGACCTGGCAAGGCAGCACCAACTACTGGGGTAATCAAAGAGCCAGCCACTAAGTTCATGCCAGAGACTGCCCTTGCTCCCTTTACTAGGGAACCCACTTGGAGACTGAGTCCGTGAGTTACATTAGAGCAGAGGTTTTAAGTCCTCTCCATGAATGGTCCTTGCTTGGGATATCAGTCTTTGCAGGGCCCCCAGGACCCAGTATTTTTGGAGCTCCTGTCCCCTTCAGGTCTTTCTATCTCCCCCTTCTTTCATAAAATTCCATGAGGGCACAGGACAGGAGCACACCACAGATGACCTCTGAAAGGCTCTACTGATCGAAGAATCTGAACAGAGGCTGAGACTCATAACCAAACTTTGGGCAGAAGGCAACATTCTTATTCTAACAAAGTACCAGATAAAAGAAAGGAGGGATGGTGGAGGTAAAGAAGGAAAGGCATAGGAAGGGAATAAGAACAAGTTTGGTTCATGATTTAAGAGTCCACCCTGGTGGAGAAAGATGCTGGGCTCTGGCGGTAAGAACATGAGGTGGCTGGTATATTGCATCTCATATTCAGGATGCTGGTGTTGAATTCACTTACTGCCATTACTCAGTTAGGAAGTCCAAACCATGGACAATGGATCTTTCCATTAGTTAAACCTCTCTGGAAATGTCCTCACGGACACACCTCGAAGGGTATCTCCTAATTGATTCTAAATCTCATCAAGATGACAATCAAATTCTCTATCTCCATAATCGGTTTTCTTCTGTGGAGAAAGTACAGGAATTTTTCTGTTAAATCCAATGGAAACTTGTTGCTATGATTTTTTATATCAGAGGTAGGAAATGGTCACACAGAACAGAAATGAAGTGCATTTTATCGGCGTTAACTGTTAGTAGGTAGAAACATATTTATGTGCATTTGATGAATATTTATATGCATTTGAGATTCCTTTCTTGTTCGTAAACCTTTCAAACGAAGTGAAGAAAAAATCCTATAAACTATATTTTGTTATGTAGAGGTACTTTTATGAAATGTTCCAGACTATACATTATTACACTGTTAGAAGGAACATTTTGATCCATTAGTTGTCACAAAAGCTAACAATCTCTTTAACGTTCAATCCAAATAATATAATGAAATCCTCACTTTCTCCCGCAGTCCAGTCCAGAGAATTATATTTCCAAGGAACAAGTGACAATGTGGTTTTGTACAACATTTTTGAATGCGGGGAATGAAAGATTCCATTCCTTTACAGATTTTGTCCTCTTGATCTATATCTGAATATTA